GAATAACATCAGAGTCTGTTGCCCACCTTATAACTGAGTAGTGTTTTACTGGCTCAGACAATAATATTGATGATGGACTCAGGATCCACTAATGTCTTCAGAGCCTCTGAAAACCCACACCAGCATTCTTTGTTCATCCCTTTGTTTGATTCTGGCATTTATTCTTACCAAGCACATCATTTAATTCAGATGTGGAAATGGAAGACAAGACCTAGCATTTGATCAATCCTTTCACATGGATGGTTGGATTTCCAGTGCTTTGAGTTCATTTTAAATGCTGGAAAGTGTAAGTTGCATTAACTCAATTAGCACATACAGATGAACATCAAAGAAATCATATTGTTTTATAAGAATAACCAAATATTAATTTTCTTTGTATAAAGTCAGAAATGATAGTGGGGTAACATTTTTAATATTTTTGTGTTCATACCTGATATTTTTGTTTTATCAAACAAGCATGAAAGAATCCAGTTTTTTACACCCATTTCCCTGTCTGTCAGTTAGGAGGGTTCTGGCATGTCCTCTTTCCCTACTGTTAATTGTACCACCTTTCCATTCAGAGGCCTGTCTTGGACCCATTCATTGGCTACGATGAAGACTCCATGGACTCAGAGACATCATCCATGGCCTCATTTAGAACAGACCGGACACCAGCGACTCCTGATGATGACTTGGATGAGGTAAGCTTTCCTGCTTCTCTGGTCTGGAGCACCATTGCAACCAAATTCTTTCCACCATAAAGGAAAAGAAAAAGAATCACTGCCCTTTTCATCTCCTTCACAACTAGCACAAAATGGTCTCATAACAGGGACCATGTCTGTGACCAGAGTTGACTTTGTCACCTCAAAAAATAACACTTATTTCATATGACCGTTCAGCTCTATCACTTGAAGACTTCCTTCAAAACAGAATTTACTTTTCAAAACTCCTTATCAAAGAGGCAGGTGAATGAAAGGACGAACTCAGAAAGTTTCCTGGATATAGTCTAATATAGGGCTTACCAAAGTTGGCCCATGGTCCACCTTCGTCAGAATGACCTAGGGGCTTCAATTATATTGAAAATTTATGTTGGCAAAAACATAATTCCTGACTTAGGAATTAGGGAGCAAAACCCCAAAAATGAATTTTTCACAAAATTTCCTGCTAATTGTGTTATTATGACCTAACACTATAAATTGTAATGCCACAAGGCTATAAACTATGGATATAAGTACATCAAAAAGAAATGATAATGAAATGTTTAATATAGTTTCCAAAAATTTGGATGCAAAATCTATTCATGAGTTCTCTTTTGAATCCAAAGTTGGCTTACATCCAAGCCCAAAAGGGTAATAATTACAAAAGTACATTTAAATAAGTTATTCTTTTATTAAATTAACCTCTTAAATCTTCTGCAATGTCTGTCTTGAAAGTATTTTAGTTTGTGTCCATACATATATTTTAGAATTAAAAATAGAAAATAATATTAAAGCAAACCAATTTTAACTTTCAGATTAAGATAATATAATCTTAATCTAAAAGTGTGTATATATACATATATATATAATCTTAATATGAAAAAAAAATATATATATATATATATATATATATATATATATATATATATATATCAGGTCCCCAGAATGAATGTATTTCTTATGTATCACAAGTATATACCAATAAAGAGGAACAAATGCCAAATGTCCCTATTCACATTAAACATAGTACTAGACGTAACAAATAATTATTTGGCTTTTTTTTTTTTTTTCAATCACAAGAGCTTAGCAGCTGAAGAATCTGAGCTACGATTTAGACAACTGACGAAAGAATACCAGGCCCTCCAGAGAGCATATGCCCTCCTGCAGGAGCAGACTGGAGGCATCCTTGATGCAGAACGAGAAGCCAAGGTCAGTGCACAGCAGCAGAGAGAGAGAAAGCTGCGGATTAGCCTGGTGACAGAGGGACCCACGGGGAGCCTTAAGCAAGAATTTAGATGGTGAAGATCAGCTAGGAAGCCACTTCTGTCATAGAAACCTTTTTCTCTCACTTGATGACTACTAACAAAGGAACGGGAGAGAAAGGAAAATACTGAGGGGCCATTTTACTCATTGACTTCTGGAATTTTGATTTTTCTCAGGCTCAAGAACAGTTGCAAGCAGAGGTGCTGAGGTACAAAGCCAAAATTGAAGACCTGGAGGCAACACTGGCTCAGAAGGGGCAGGTAGGCACTTGACTGCTAGCTCTTCTGCAGACACATACCTCCCACCTAACCATCCTCTCACCCACCCTGTGCACGGGCACACCCAGGACACAGCTCGGCCCTCTGCAGCCCTTCTCAAGCCCTATCAGATTGTTCAGCTCTGTATTCCTGTCCTTGGTGTGTTTTCTGGCTTGAATGCAAACTTAGACACAACAAGAAATGAGGTTGGGCAAGAGAGAAAGAAGGCCTGATGACAAGGAGCCCATACAAGTAGCCTAGAGTTGTCACCAAAGGCCAAGACAAAAGGCCACACCCCACCCCAGCTGCATTCCTTGCCTCTACGCTACATTTATGGTTCTGCATTTTAATGTTTTCCATTCATATGTATCCAGCCTGTGTGCATTCTGACCCTTTTCACTTTTTGCCTGTGTGGTCACTTCTGAGTCCCCAGAAGGCTGGTCCTGGATTATTCAGACTCAAAAGGGACAGGTAGCAAGTGACAATGGAAAGGGGTGAAGTCTTGCTGGCAACTTTGGCCCCATCAGTTTCAAAGAAGTTGCTGGCATGGGTGGGTGTCATTTATCAGTCCTTGGCCGGCAAACAAATCTGGAAAGAAGAGAGCTCTGGCCAAGTGGTTTGAGGACACATGCTCTTTCATGCCACTCTGAAATGCTGACTGCACAATATTCTTTGTCAAACAGGATTCACACTGGGTAGAAGATAAACAACTTTTCATTAAGAGAAACCAGGAGCTTTTAGAAAAGGTATGTTGGGCACAACACCCTAATGGGGCAGAGGAGAAAACGCTGAGCAATCCAGGAGCAGCAGGGGGTGTTCTCAGGAGTGGCACAGGGGCCAGGGAAGGGGAGGCTTTTCCAGTGCCGCTTTGTCCTTTGCTGAGTTCTCGACCGCATTCCTGTCACCACCATTACCATTGGTTAAGTGGCATGTGTGCATGGCTCCGCGTTGCGCCTTGTGCAGACTGGAAAGGATGTGACCCTTAAGACCCACCGGTTTGTTGCCCATACATATACATATATATATGTACTGTACACATATATATATTCACCCACATGCACATGCACACATTCTGTGTGGTTATTCACCTACAAAAAAGTATGAATATTATTTTGTGCAAGAAAAGGAGAGAAAATGACTCTTAACACCCTGTTCAATTTAGCAAAGACTATATTCTCACTTTAATTTTTTATCTAAGTTCAGCCATTTTATTACTTTTTAAAGAAACTTCTTTTAGATGCACCCAAAGAATAAAATAGGTGGTCCAGAAAATTAGGCAAAAAATTAAGATAGAAAATCATGGTTTAGGCCCACTAGATGCAATCAATTTTGGTTGTCTAAATGTAGGCTTTTAGTGGTACATAAATATAAGAGAATACTTTAGGTCAGGCATCTTTTTCTTTGGTTTTTAACTTCTACAAATCCATCAGAAAAATAACAAAATTACCATATAATATCTTTGGCAGACAGAGAACTTGAAAGCCCTGTTCAATAATGGAAATGATTCTATAGATTAGTCCAAATTATTCTGGAGTTATTTCTGCCAATATTTTCTATGCTTGAAGATCAGTCACAAGGCCCGGTCAGCAAGAGAAGGAAGGGACAGGTTTGCGTATCCACCCTCCCCTCTAGCCTGGCATGGTTGGCTTCCCCTGTCTTATTTTTTGCATAGTGAGACAAAGCTGAGGCCCATTGCGGGTAGGTTTCCAAAGTTGAGAACTGGTGCTACTGGGAAGATTTCAATACTGATAAAGAAACATTGTTGACCTTGGTCCCAGCTGATAGACCGAAATCCCTAGAAGCAGAGAACTTCTCAAATACCTCCTTCACTATCTAATACAAGATTCCACAGAGTAGATTCTCTTTCACAATTTTCATCAGCTTCTACAATCTTAGGATAGTCCATTACACCGCAAGTTACTAGTTACATTAACTAATGTCACATAACTTTTCACTGGATATCCTTCTTTGTGTTGCTATCTGGTAACAAATGTTATTGTATTTCTTTTTCATAAAAAATTATTCCCAGTAGGTCTTTGACTTATTTGCTTGTTTGTTTCAAAAAGGAAATTTTTGAGCTTTGGTCTCTTACAAGCAAACGAAAGAAAAAGTTTAGCCGCTAAAGCTAAACGTTTTACTTTAAATTTTTAGGTTTGGGGAAATAAAGTTCATCTATCAAGAAAAGTATTTCCATTTGTGTTTAATTCAAAATGTTAAATTGTTATTAACATAACACCCATCCATGTGACTACTCCGAAGGGAACTCCCAAAACTGTTGCAGTTGGTAAAGATCGTATGACCCCCTAAATCCAAAGATGCCTCAGAAGTAAAGTTTATCCAAGGGGGAGACACAGCTAAGCACATGTAACTCAATTCCATGCCTCATGGGATTGTACTAGTGGACCTGTGAGAAAGTCCACAGGGAAACAGAAAGAATGGCTGTCAGCTCACAGGGAAGAGCTCTTAGAGATGTTAGACCTCAGCATTCAAAGAAGTGCAGGGTTTCCTGTGCATAAAGAGAGGTGGGGAGCTGATAAGGTGTGATCACCTTATCAGAGAGGCAATAACACAGGATAGCTGAAATAGTCCGCTTGCAAGGTAGATAACGGTTGCTACATCCTAGTGTGATGATCATGTGTGAGCGTGTGGAGGTAGTCACTGAGAACATTTGAAACTGGAAAGCTAGGAAGTCATCAGATCAGTAAGGGTGTTTAATTCCATGTTAAGGAGTTGGGCTTTATCCCTTAGACAACTGGAACGGCACAAAATTTAGTACAAGAGCTGTTTTTAAGACATCACTGTAGTGCTCACTTCAGCAGCACTGGTACTAAAATTGGAGGATACAGACACAATTAGCATGGCCCCCGCACAAGGGTGACATGCAAGTTCATGCCAAGTTCCATATTTTTTTTAAAAACTTATTGTACCTTTAAAAATTTGTAAGATAGTAAATGTCAAAAGTTATCACCACAGAAAAAAGTGAAGTGTTGGAGTAGGGACACATTAATTGATAGGATCTAGTTATGGAGTATATTTACAAATTATAACATCATTACAAACTGTCAATTAGTAATAAGGAAAAACTTATGTGACAGAAGGCATCTCCAAAAATGAGACATGTCAGGTCCTCACACATACCATCAGTCAGTATACTGTGTCTGACCCCCCCGCCCCCAAAGATACGTGAATATCTCACATTCACTACTCACAGGAGGCCTAGACTTTTATCCAGAAACAGCCAAATATCCTGCATTTTTCTCCTTGACTCAAAAAATCCAAGGAAGGAATGCCAGAGACTCACTTTGTTCGCATCTGCTTGGAATTCTTTCATGGTCTTTTCACTGGGTAAATGAACATTAATCCACGCTTGCTTTGCAAAGTTGCAGTGGCATTGTACAGTGCTCACCTAACTTTAGGATTTACTTTATATTAGATAGAAAAACAGGAGGCAGAAAATCACCGGCTACAACAGGAACTGCAGGATGCCAGAGACCAGAATGAGCTGCTGGAGTTTCGAAACCTAGAGCTAGAAGTAAGGAACCCATGCCCACAGTAAAAGTAATCATTCAAAGCATGCACCGAGCTTATGAGGAGCCAGGGGCTGAAGTAGGCAACATATTCTTAGTATGTTACAGACTTTCTTAAGATTTTCTTGAGGAGGCAGCTGAGGGAGGGTACATACCTCCCCGAGTCCCTCGATTAGTGAGTGGAGGGACATTTAGGGAATTCAGGACTGTCTTCTCAGACTCTGTTCCTCACATACAGTGTCCCTATAGGCCAGTCTGATGAATAGTCTTGAAATACTTGAACTAACAGATTCAAACTTTGTCATTATTTTATTGATTGTTAATAACGTCCATCTTTCATTGAATTTTGATTCATTGAAATTTTGCTTCAGGGATTACATTTTGAAATGTGCTTCATAAAAATATTTGCCAGTTAAATTTGAATTTGTGAGTAAACTATGTAGCCCTTAATGCATTGATTGCAAAAGAAGGTTAAGGAGTAATGTAACTTATCTTAGGAAGTAACTCGATCAATTGGGCCAAATTTTAAGCATCTGTTTTGGGGTTTTGTTTATTAAATAAAACATGTAAATAAAATCAATTTTCAATTATATCATGCAGAATCTAGCACAAGATCTGGCTGAATGTACACTGATATGTGAAAGTAGAACCAAAATTCCTATTCCATTTTTCAGTCATTTTGCCAGTGTTTTCTTCTGGAAATTGTTTCAAATTTGATTTGGAGATAAAGTTAGCAGCTGGTATGCCTCAGTGAAAGAGAGTAAGTGATTCTGCAGCCTACATATCTTGCTCATAAAGACTGAGTGGATTAAGTATGTGAAAGGCTGTTTGCTACCATAAAACCTCACAGCAAAACTACTTTGTGATATTGGAAAGTTCTAAATATTCATATAGTTTAAATTGGAACAGTACTTCCTGCATCTTGCTTATCAAAAAATTTGCAAGAGTAGATGACACTATAATTTTTCTTTCATACTCTATAGTTAACTAGTCAGGCCTTTTTCCATTACATTTAAGCATGAGCATCTTGAGTTAAATGGCATATTGATAAACTTCAGAAATAGCATACAAAGAGAACTAGGTTAGTGTTTAATTGCTTTTTGTAATTCTCATATTCTTCACTGTATTTCAAGGAGAGAGAGAGGCGGTCCCCTCCATTTAATCTACAAATTCACCCATTCTCAGATGGTGTGAGTGCTCTCCAGATCTACTGTATGAAAGAAGGTGTCAAGGTATGCAGATATTGGATCTTTTATGTTTGTAGAAATCTGAAAAGCAGGGTATTCAAAGGAGAAGGATGCCCATGACTTTTTTGGTCTTTTATCCACTGGATGTCACTTGATACAAATGATATAGGAAATGAAAATAGTCACATTGGTTGGAAAATCAGTAAAATATAAAATAAATGTGTGGCATGCATGAATGGTAATGGCAAAAAATTTGGAAGCCATAATCATTTAGAACAAAGTTAACACAGAATATTACATCCCAGTGGTATACACTGCAATCCCAGTACTCTGGAGGACAGAGGTAGCAGGATCAAAGTTGGAGCCCAATCTAGGCAACTGAATGTCTTAGTAAAAGTTTAAAAACTAGAAAGGGTTGGGGATGCAGCTTATGGATAGATCTTGATTTGAATCCAGCACCACAAAAGAAGGTAAGAATCAACATATTAATTCAATGGGAGAGTCATTCCTTGTGACACAAGATGAATGGCAAGTGTATCAAGATCTTTAGTTTTAATTATCTAGCAGAAATATGAAATAGAGTCATCATACCAACAAACACATTTCAGGTTGCCAGATTAAACCTGAAGTTTAATCTGACCTCTGCTCCAACTTTGGAATTGTCTTTGAAGTCATCTAGTTCACCATCACTTTGATGTCTAAGGAAGATTTTTTTTCTCTTTTAAGAGGGTTTAGGCTTATAACTTGTTGCTTGTTAGGTAATACATAATTCTATCTCTAGTACTACTGGAAGGTTTTTAAAATACTGAAATTGGATTGAAGCAGCTGTTTCCCAGAAAAGACATTGCCCTCCAAGGGAGCGCAGTGCCATTGTGAATCCTTCTTCCCAGTGAGATACCCTTGCTATTCCTGGCCTCTCCTTCACCTTCTGCATGGCCCTTCCTTATCCCACTTTGAGATGCCAGATACATCTGCTTCTGTGGCTGTTCCCTAGCTGTGAAGAAAGACCTAGATTTCTGTTTCCTGGTGGAGGGCTCCGCTATACTGCTGTTTGCACCTTAGTATGAGGATGAAGTTTAAAAAGTGGGTGGGAAATTAAATAAGAAAATTGTACTTCCTTGTCTCATTGAAAACCACTTTTGTGGTATCTAACATTCTGGGGCTATGTGAAAATTTATAAGTCACCGCAATTTTTATTCAATGCAGATTAAATAAAAAACAATGGTATTTGCCTTTTGCTCTGATCTTTAATTCTTAGACACATCACAAACAACCTAGTCCAGTGGATGTAACTTTTATTCAGGATAACTGTTTTAGATGGAGTGACACTTCACACACGCCAGGACTAGAGTAAAAACAAACCAGTTCGCATAGGAATAAGTGCATGCTAACCATCTGAAATAACGGGCATTCGCTATAGTTTTATACATGACAGGCAACATTCAACCAGACTAGAATTCCTCTAATTAAAAACACATTGACTATTACTTTATATTATTTTTATGCCTTAAATCTTTCATAACTGGAAAAAATAGCAACTAGAAAATAAAAAGTTAGTGACCTTTTTTTTAATTCGTGTTCATGCTACACACATTCAGTCTCATTGTCTACATATCATCCTATGAAATATGGTGTTATTATTGCCACTTGTGTCTGAGAAAATCAGGAAAGCTTTCCCAAGTTCACCCGACTCGTAAGAAGACAGCTGAAAACCATTTGTCCCTGACGAAAAGCAGCCCTCTACAGCACAGCCCCTGAGCACCTTCTGTCACCCAGCATTCTGGCCCTGGTGAAATGCGAGGCTGCATGTGTACTTTGGCTTGAACACACTTCCTTGATTTTGCAGGATGTGAACATCCCCGATCTCATAAAGCAGCTAGATATCTTGGGTGATAACGGGGTAAGTATGGTGAAGTATGGGGATGGGAAAGGGGTAGAGTTGCCTGAATTGTGGTAAAACTCCTTCTCAGTCTATCCTATGTAAAATGATAGCAAGGGAGATGCTATATTCCCTTAAAGACACAGCTCCCTGGAGAGAATCTATGATATGTCACATAACCTGGCCAGAGATCTCTAGAAGGCGGTAGCAGAAATGGTATTGGCCAGCTGTTTCTCATGAGTAGGTCTCCAGTTTGAATCCTGACCACATCTGCAGTGATTAAATCTAATTCCAGCTGACTGTTGTCTAGAGCTACCCAGGGTGAGATTAATCAGTCAGGCAATTGCAAATGCTGCTAAATGCTAGGGTTGTTGCAGCTTTATAGAAATGGACCAGGGAGCTATTGTCTTTTTTCTTCCTAAAATCTCCTTCTAGACAGGGTCAATGCATATTAATTCAATGGGAGAGTCATTCCTTGTGACACAAGATGAATGGCAAGTGTAGATTTAAGAGTCTCCCTTTTTCCTCTTGAAAATTACCACAAGAGGGAAGAATATCAATGAAATCACATCAAAACTGCTATGAACAGACTGCTCTGCATTTCATTTGTTTTTTTAATAACATAACTGTTCATAAAGCATGCTTATAATGACAAAAATCAAACCAGTATTAGGGAGAAATCATAAATCACATTTAATATGCCTCTTGAGGTTTCTGAATTCACTTTTTATTAGGAATTATTCCTATACAATAGGAATGTATTAAAGTTCCATGCATACATATATAGTAGTTGGTGGTGGTGGTGGTTTTTTTCTGTAGCATAAGCATAGTAAGTATGTTCAACTTCCTGGCTTTCTTATTTTTCACAGAATTTAAGAAATGAAGAACAAGTGGCTATCATTCAGGCCAGCACTGTGCTATCGCTGGCAGAGAAGGTAATGATGGGTCTTTCTAACATTTTACTTCATCTCTATGTCTTCTAACATTTAAAGAACAGCACAGGGTGTGAAGGACAATGACTCTTCATTACCGAATGTGTGATGAAAGTGATACGATTCTGACAGGAGGAGGAGATCCCTAAGAAAATTCTCCTGCCTGATTTGGAATGGGCAATCTTTGCTATTCCTTGCAAAAGTATTCTTAGGCAACCAGACACCTTCTGGAGTTCATTATTTCATCCATCCCTCCATGCTGGGTAAACTGGTAAACTGGAGCACCGCTCTTCTTCGGAAGCTAGAAGCCTATTGTTCGCCCCTGGTTCCGTAATTTGGCGGGAGTCTCTGTAGTCTCATCTGAAAGCCCTACACAGACAGACA